GTCCACTGAGCCATGCCAGCCAGGGCTCCACTCTGTTCTCGAATATTCACTTGGCTGTTCTGCTGTCATCGTGGTTTTTGAGTCACATGTTATTGGATGAATGCTGCGACGGTGTCTTCTTGTCATTGCTTTTGCTTTCAGTCCCTCTCATGTCCAGGGGGTCTCCTTATCTCTGATTTTACAGGGCACGTGTGGGTTCTGCCAGGGCCTCTGAGGAGCTCATCACACCAGAGTGAGAAAGCCTGCTCTCTCTTGTGTATGGTATTGCGGTGAAGTTGGGGGGGGGGAGCGGGAAGTCATCCTGTAATCCCTGCATCCATTACCCTTCCCCCACACACTGAGCAGAGGCCCACTGGTGCCACCAGCCCAGCGTGAGCTCAGGTAGCTCTGGGAAACATCCCCTGTCCCCTGAGCTTATGTATAGTCCTCTCAAAGGCTGGCCCCAGCTCTCCCAGCTTGTGATTTCTCTGTTCTTCTGGGCTTCCCAAGGGGGCTAAGTTAGACACCGTTTTCTGCCTTTCAGTCCTCTGGTTGCCAGGATGGCCTCAGCTTTCCTTTTGCTCGTGCCTAAAGCCAAAAATAGATGGGTCCATGACTGCTATGGGCACAATGCTCTTTTTTCCACTCCACCCCCACCCACCTGCACTTTGGGGAGAGCTCCCTAGCGAAGGGCACTTGCCTCTCCACACAGACACGAGGCATGGACACTGTTGAGACTGGCCTGCCTTTCCCAATGGGGGACAGTGGGGGGAGCTGGGGACATGAAGTGCCTCCTCCTGCTGCAGTGTTGGCCTGGTAACATGACCGCAGGTGGGTGTCTGTTAACCAGTGTTTGTGATGTTGGAGTGGACACGGGCTGCTTTCCAAGAGGATATTACTGAGCATGAGCGGACACTGAGAGGCCGTTTCCCACCCTCCCCTGCATACATCACAAAGGCAAGTTGGTCATTTCTAGGGAATTCCTCCACATAGGATCATGTCATCTGTGAATAAAAACACTTTTGGTCTTTTTTTCCAATCATGATGGTTTTATTTTGGTGGGGCGTGGGGTTTATTTCACCCACGAGAACGTTCAGTACCATTTTGAGCAGAATAGGCGAAAGTGGATATCTTGCATTCTTCCCAATATTAAGGAGAACATTCATTCTTTCACCACGAACTGTTATGCACACTGCGAATTTATGTAGACACTATCAGGTTGAGGAAATTCCCTTCCATCCCCAAGCTGTTGGAAAATTTTTTTTTATCACGGATGGGTGTTGGGTTTCGTCAGGTCCTTTTTTTGGCGACTATTGTGGTGCTCATCTCCCCCTGCCCACCTTGTACTATTCATATGGTGTATAACAATTGATTTTCAGATATTAAACCCATTTTGCATTCCTGCAATAAATCCCACTTGGTCCCAGTATGTCTCTCTACAGTGTTTGTATGAGGCCTTGCCTGGTCTCCCTACTTTGCATTCAGAAGGTCTTGTCCATGAGGCAGAAAAAACCCAGAATCCTAGCGTTGGTAGTACGGAGCCGGCAGCCTCTTCTAGGGCCGGAGCCCTGCTTGGAAAGCCACATCTTCTATGCCAGGCTCCCATCCTCCCAGGGACCTCACGGAGGAGCCCCTCTATCCCCTGAAGCACACACAGGGCCCAGACTCCAGCCCACTTCCCTATGGCCACCATATTTGTGCCCTCACCAGTGATGGGAGGGCCAAGACAGACCCCTCCCCTGCCCATTAGTGGCTGTAGGACCTCCCTGACCTGCAGCATCTCTTTGCTCTGACCTTGTAGGAGACAGTCCCTGCACCAGGTGCACTCAGGGGCAGGAGTGGGGAGCCTGCAGCCCAGGTGGGTGAGGTCCTGGGATCAAAGCCAGTGACTGGGAGAGGGAGGGTGAGCAGAGGGTAGAGAGGGCAGGAGGAGTGGGGGAGGGGCGCGGCTGGAACCTCTGTCACTGGAGGGCTGAGGGTCTCAGCAAGGCAGTAGCTGAGACAGAGGCCTCATGCTTTGCCTTGTGTGGTGAGTGCCAGGCCGTGATCAAGCTTCTAACCAGGACTGTGGCCTTCTTCTGGAAGAGGGTGGCCTCTGAGAAGGGACATTACCTGAGGTCACTACCACCCCACCACGTACCCTCTCTCAGTCCCTTTATTCTCCATGCATTGACCCTCATCAGAGGGGCTCCCTGACTCCTGGTCTGGTCGGCTGGTGGGAGTGGTGCGGTGAGGGGAAAGGGGGGTGTGGAGTAGCTCAAATTCATGTGTGTGTGTGGGGGGGTCCTCAAGTGCTGGAGTCCCAGTGTCCTCCAATCTAGGCCTGCATCCACCCAAGCCACAGACTCTCTTGTCCATCCCAAGAGGTGAAGGTGGTGGCCAAGAAGGCCATGGGGCACTTCCTTCCTCTACGTTTGCTCAGAAGTTCCTGCAACAGATTCCTTTCTGTATTTCCAGTAGAGCGTGCCCCTGATTAGAGCATATGTTTGGTTCGGTTTCACAAACGCAGGGGTATTTGAAGCCAGCGGACAGCCACCTGTCCGGCACCCCTTAAAGAGCCAGAGCTGCACTTATGCTTTGATTCTGTTGGGATGGTCATATGGATTTTTGTCTTTGTATTAGTTTTCTGTTGCTGTCTTCACAAATCAGCACAATTCTACAACTTCCATTTATCATCTTATAGTTCTGTAGGCCAGAAGTTTGGTACAGGTCTTGGCAGGCCAGAACCATGGTATTGGCAAGCTACGTTCCTTCCCGGAGACTCTACGGGATAATCCCTTTCCTGTTTAGTTGGCTTATTGGAAGAATTCAGTTCTTTGTGGTTGCAGGACCCAAGTCCCATTTTCTTGCTGTCTGTAAACTGAGGGCCGTTCCCAGCTTCTGGAGGCCACTACAGTTTCTGGCTCCTGGCCCCTTTCTGCACCTTCGGAGTCCACAGTGGTGGCCTGAGTCTTTCTCACATGACACTTGTCTAACCCACTCTTCCGCCTCCTTCTTCCACGGTTAATAGCTTCTGTGGTTAGATAATACAAGGTAATCTATGCATTTTAAGGTCAACCGATTAGAAGCCACATGGTGTCACCTGCAACTTTAATTCCCTATAGCAATGCATTCTCGAATTCTGGGGATTAGGACACAGGCAACTGTGAGGGACCATTTGTCTACCACACTCTCCTTTTCGGTTACTATGTGTGGCATGTTTTCCCTGACTGGAGGACATTTTTTCATTGTTTTTAGAGAGCCAGGAAGAGAGAGACAGAGAGACAGAGACAGAAAGAGGCAGAGAGAGACAGAGAGAGGAGACAGAAACATCAATCCATTGTCTTTTGATACATGCCCTGACCAAGGATCAAACTTGCGACCCTTTTTTCTACAGGATGACGTTCCCCCCGACTGACTGGCCAGGGTGCATGGCTGATTTTTTTTAAAAAGAGTTTATTTGTTTGTTTGCTTGTTTTTAGGGAGAGGGGAAGGGAGGTAGAAAGAGATGGGGAGAAATATCAATGTGTGGTTGCCTGTCACACACCCCCAACTGGGGACCTGGCCCACAACCCAGGCATGTGCCCTGACTAGGAGTCGAACTGGCGACCCTTTGGTTACTAGGCCAGCACTCAGTTCACTGAGCCGCACCCGCCAGGGTGCATGGGTGATTTTTAATTGATGAAACAACTTTGCTTTGCTGGGGCAAAGTTCATTTAACTGCAGTGAGATTCCCCTTGCAGTGGGCTGCTAGATTAGCCAAATGGACAAACATTTTTGTGGCACACTTTTACAACAGAATCCAATGGAATATTTGAGGCCAAGTGGAAAGTCATATATCCGTCACCCCTCGGAGGGCGGGGGCAGCGTATGACTTGCTCACTTTTGGATCCTAAAAAACCTGCCCCAGATGTGGCACTGAGTGTGTGACTCAGGGGACCATTTGAAAGCATTGCCCTGAAGGTTGGTGGGAATCTGGTAATAGGTGGGGGGGATCACACCCCTGCCGTGAATAGCGTTAATTCTAAGGTGTGTTGAGTACTTGTCTGTGCCCAGCACTGGGCTGGGGGCCCTAAGGGCATTCTTGGCTTTTAATCCTCCAAAGACTTCCATAGTATATTGTCCAGTCCATTTTCCATCCCGGTCAGGGAGACACAACCAGGAGGAGAAGGCAGAGGGGGCTAGCTTCACCCAGACCTCAAGCCCAGCAGCCACTTCCTGACCTCTGCGCCCCCGCCCCTGAGGCGCTTCTCCCCACAGTGCACTCAGGGGAGTGTCCTTTAGAGGACAATCCTCTTTTGTCGGCATTCTCCTCCCAGCGTGGACCTGGCCTTCCAGGTGCCAGCATCTCCCTGCAGCTTCTCTGCCAGTGGAGTTTCAGCCCCTGCAGAGGTGGCTGAGCCTTAGCAAAGCCGACCATAGAGCACTGCTGCTTAGCCCTTTGTTCTCCCCCTTCCTTCCTAGTAAGGCAGAACACTGAGGGTAGGATGGTAGGACCCTAAGAGGTGTGAGGGTGGCCTGGTGGAAGCCAAGGGCTGTGAGAGGAGTGGATTAGAGTCTAGTGGAAAGGCTGCCCAGCAGGGTCAGAGTATACTCGTACACAGGAGGGCGGTGCAAATCAGCAAATGTACTGAGGATGCCGGGAGGTCAGATGCTCCCGCCAGAAGGTGCTATAGACACGGAAAGGTGAAAGGTGACAGAATTCTGGCATGATTCCTGTGCTCCTGGACTGGCACGGAAGGTACCGGTGTAGCCTCATGGTTTTCCATAGGCGTACACATAAGATCTGGGCTTCTAGACACTGTGTTCTCCAGTGAGAAAGACGAGGAATCCTTGGATAAATGACTGAGTAAGCAGCCTTTTCAGTTTCCAACAAAACAAGCCAAAGAACCATGCATTAAGCATGCCAACGAGGGGTGGTTTATACTGATAAACTATTTCTAGTAGGAAGATATGGAGTCAAACCTTTATGCCTCTGACAACATCGGTGGACAGGGAGGGCAAGGAGAGAGTGAGTAAACAGGCAGACCAGTCCAGGTGGGTGGAAGGCAGCTTTAATAAGCTAGGGGACTTACAACCAAGGCTTGTCTTGGGTGGCTGCAGGAATCTTAAAGTTTGTGTAGAGGCCTTGACTGGGTTCAGTCACTCTACTATCCAGATGATGGTCTCCACACCTTATTCTCCCAAGGCTCTGTCCTTGAAAAGGCTCTGGCTATGGGAATGGTGGGCGGAACCTACATTCCGAGGGCAGGGGTGTGAGTAAGAAGCCTCCGATCACTCAGGTCCAGCTCAAGGGTTAACTGGTGGTCACATCCTCTCACTGACTTCCTTCAACAGGTGGCTGGGGATTGTGATGAGATGATGGCAGCAAACCAACCAGCGCAGTGTCTGGAGCTCCACAGGCTCCTGCTGCATGTCAGTTCCCCTCATTTGGTGTTCTCTCCTTAGAGTGATAAGGTCTGAACACCAGTGTTGTACAGACCTCGTCACCTTGAATGCTCACAACCCCCCACCCCTGTCCCCAAAGGCTCCCATGAGTGCCCATGGCTGGCCTGGCCACACAGTAGTTGGTGGAGGAGCTGGGCTCAGGGGGCGGGTCTTAGGGAGGATAGGGCATGCCTGCCTGCCTGCCTGCCTGCCTGCCTGCCTGCCTTCCTCCCTAGCTGGAAAGGGTGGTCCTCCCTCATCAGAGGGACTTGGAGCTCTGGTCTGACCCTCTCCCGTCTTGGTTGTGCCAGGTTACAGAATCCCTGCAGTGGGCGTGAGACCATCAGGGACTGAACAGGGCCATCTGGACAGAGGGGAGGGAAGCGCAGGGCACTGACAGGGACTTGGGCTCATCCCTCCTGTGGTGGCAGACGTTGGGTCTCTTTGGCCAGGGTGCTTTGACCCCTGGGGAGCTCTTGGTGACAGGTGGGGAGTATACCCAGGCTTTGCTCCTCAGTGTGAGCACAATTCTGTGTCCTGAGGATGGCTCCCTACGGTGGCCTGTGGTCCTGCTTTGCTCTATCCTGGCCACTGCACTTCTCCCTAGTCCTCCCTCACTCACCCTCTGCCCACATGCCACCCTCACCCCTGCAGCAGCCTCAGAACCACTGGCCTGGCTTCTCTGGGGAGGCACCAGGACTGGAGCTCTGATGGCACAGTTAGGGCTAAGGTCGGGGAATGGTAAGCTTCTGTCCCTGCAGTTGATCTTCCCCCAAACTCTGCACCACCTGGCCAGCAGAGAGGCAATGGGGACCTTGCCACACCTGCTGCTGCAGAGAGGCCTCTGGTGCAAGGAAATGATGTGTGGACAGACTATTTCTCCTCACTTCCCCCAGCCTACCCTTGGGATTCAAACGAATTAAGCACTTTCCAATACCCGGCTCTAAAATGAAGATAAGACCTAGGTATTGGGTTATTCCAACGAAGGCTGTGAGTGGGACAGTTGCCACCTGTGGGGCCAGGCCTCCTCTGCTGCTGCTGCCTTTCTCCCCCCCCCACCCGGGGCCAGGGGAAGGCAGTGGTCCAGGTCAAGTGGCATCTCCAAGCACCTCCTGAAGAGGCCGGAGTCACTCACAGCCCTCTGAGTGCGCTCCCCTCCCCCAGCTCCCGGTCTTAAGTAGTGATCTCACCTGTGGCCCCTCTGTCCTCCGAGGCTATTGCACCACAGCAGGAACAGGAGGCCCCCAGTTTTATTTATTTTATTGAATATGAGGCCTTTCCTTTCCTTTCCTTTCCTTTCCTTTCCTTTCCTTTCCTTTCCTTTCCTTTCCTTTCCTTTCCTTTCCTTTCCTTTCCTTTCCTTTCCTTTCCTTTCCTTTCCTTTCCTTTCCTTTCCTTTCCTTTCCTTTCCTTTCCTTTCCTTTTCTTTTCTTTAACTTAGAGAGACTATGAGATTTGACACCGGAAAGAACATTCCTCTGACCAGGACAGAGTTAACCAACACACGTGGAAAATTGAAAGCCATCTCATTCAGGTTGGTGTCCCTGATTTTGTAGAAGTTCCGTGGCCTGGAAAACAGACTGCAAAGAAATAAAGTGCACTGAAAACCCGCCGAGCAGCCAGGGCCCGGTGGGGTTGGGGAGCGGTGGGAAAGGAGAAGCAGCTCACTCACTACTCAAGGCCAAAATGGCAAGAAAAGCCATGGCGGGAACACAGGCAAGGACCAGTCCCTGGCCCCTCCCCCAGCCATTCCCTTAGAGCAGAGACAGCCAAAGGCGGAGCCACAGAGCCTCCAAGTGGGGAGCCGGTCTCTGAGGCCAGGGGCCCTTGAGGCCCAGACAGACATTTCTCCCCGTGGGACACAAGCACACACTCAGGGAACAGCCTCCCCTCATGCCATTCTCAGGCCTTCCTCCTCCCTGGCTGGCCCAGCAAGAGGATGCAGCTGGGGATCCACTCACCCAGAGGATTTCACTGGGGTGAGACCTGGGCTCGAAAGGAGCCCATCTGTGTATCATCCCCAAGAAGGCCCCTGCTCCTCCTCCCAGCTCTTACAGCCCCTGTTGCTCTGCTTTCTCTGAGGCTGTCCTGGGAGATCTATGGATGGAGCCAGCAGGCTGGCAGGCTCCCACAAGTGGTCCTGGGTGGGCAGGGTTGGAATGGAGGAGGGGTCGCCAGGAATAGGGACTCCCAGGAGACTTGGCACAAGGAAGGAAGCCGTCAGGCCCTGTCCGTGAGGAACTGCTGGGGGCATGTGGGAGCCTTGGTCCAGCCTCAGTCCCCAGTCCCCGGGGTGAGCCGGGAGGAGTAATTCACCCAGGACCCAGACTCCAGCTGGGCAGCTGAGTGGGGCAGATGTGGTGAGATTGGGCCAGTCGGGGCCTGGGGCTGACCACACTGCTGTGGGTTTTTAGTCCCAAGATCTCTGAGTACTTGGGCCCAGAGCAACCAGTGTCACAGCAGATGTGGGACTGGGGGCGGGTGGTGAGGGCCGTGGTCTCTCCTGGCTCCCCTCTGGGCTGCTCCTGCCCGTGCCGGAACACCAGTCAGTAGTGTACGCACCCCAGGCCTCCAGGACCAATCCAAGCCCATCTAGAGTCCTCTCCCGTCTGATCCTGGGCATCGGGGAGCTGAGCCTGGGGACAGAGAGATGGGGTCCTGTGTGGTTGCCATTCCCCTCCCACCCCCAGTTTATCTTTTTACCTTCCTGGTCACAGCATGTCCCCAGGAGCCACCCCCTGCTCCCCCAGCCAAGCCCAGAGGGTTGTGTCCAACTGCTGAGGAGCCCTTGGTCAAGCCTGGGGTGGGGGGGGGTGGGAAGACCTGGCTCTGTGGGTGAGGACCTCAGCTACCCAGGGGATCCTGGGATTCATCTCTCTTTTGCCTGTCTCAGCTTAGACTATCCTCCTGGTCTTCCCTGTGATTCCCAAGACCTCCCCAAGGAAAGCTGGTTGCCCACATTTTCCCTACCCTGAACCTCTCTCTCCCTAGGTCCCCTGGGAGCCCTGTGATTCCCCTGCCCCATCCCACCATGCCAGGTCTTCCAGAAGACTGGGGAGTGGGTGGGGCAGTGCAGGCCTAAGGAAGACTTAGCTTCACCACTTCTTTCTTATCTGTGTGACAAAGGCAAATCTGCGCCCACCCCCCACCCCCAGGACCCCAGGTTCCACTGTCCCTAAGTAGAGAGTAGAACTCCCCTCATGGTGTTGGTAGGAGATCTCAGTGCCCAGGTGACATGGTCCTTCTCCACGCCACAGCCACACCACTGGGTTACCCCACCTCTTGGGGCCTCTGCCTGGAAGGCCTTTCATCTCCTCCTCAGCCAGGCTACTCAGCTGCTACCAGGAAGTTCTAGGGCCAGGTGGGCCCTTGGGCACAGGTTGGACTCTTGAGGAGGCCAGAGAAGGGGCGAGTCACCAGCTTCAAACACCAATTTCTGAAGGAAAAAAAATGGAAACCTGAGAGTTGCCTCCCCACCCAGAGAAGTCCCCTGCTGTCCTGGTGTTGTCTCCTTTACAAGCCCCATCTCCATCTTCTCCCCCCACCCCACCTGAGAACTGCCCTCTGCTCAAGGAAATCCCCACTTCCCAGATCCTTGGGGTTCACAGCACACTCCTGGAGGTTGTCTGTGCCACAGGATGGCATTCTGTGGCACAAGGAGGGCTGTGGGTGGCAGAAGAGCAAAACCGTGGAGGGCGGGGGCTGGGGAGAAAGGCACCTTTCCACGCTTCCACAACCGCATCCTCAGAGAGGAAGGAGCAGAACAAAAGTGGCAGCGATAGCCTTTCTGGAGGCAGACAGCAGCCCCCTGGCCCTGAAGACACAGTGCAGGGAGCTGCAGAGAGCCCGTGGCCTGAGGGCTGAGAAGGGGACACCCCTGGGGGTTCAGGCTGCCTACCCAGGAGGGTGGAGGAGAAGTGTGGCAGCATCTTTTCTCCTCTAGGGCCTCCCCGTGGCCTCCCGCAGCCCATTCCCCTCCATTTCCTCTGGCTCTGGTGACACCTGCTGTGCCTCTGGGGAAAGGGGACCTGGAACTGGGAGGTGAGTGGGAGGGGACAGTCGGATCTCTATGGGAGATGGGCTGAGCTGCTGATTGGAGCCATGTCTAAGCTACAGCTGCCCCTCACCCCCAGTCTGGAATCATGACAAGGGACTCTGAAGATCCCCAGGCTGCCCTGCCTGCCTCTGCTGGACTCCGCAGCTCTCTGGGCGCAGCTCTCGGGCCCCTTCTATATTTCATCCACAGCCCCAAGGGGCCTCGATGTCTAAATATTATGGCAACTGCCTCCCTCCAGCCCGCAGGGCCAACCTCTCTCTGGCAGCCTACCTTTATAAGGTCAGGCTGGTCAAAGCAGGTCCCTGCAGCAGCAGCATTTCTTCTTTCTGGTTTCCCTCTTTTGCCAACGTGAGGCAACGGGTCGGCTGTACTCAGATCATGTCCTCAAACCCAAAGTCACGGCTCCGTTTTCTGAGTTTTTGTGCAATCCAGCACTGGTCGCGAGGGGTGCGCGCAGGTCACGCGTGGGTCTGGTGTTCGGTGGCCTGGGTGGCTCAGTGGCCAGCGTCCTCTCTCGGAGCGCTAGGGTCTAGAGGTCTGGGCCGCCCCGCCTCCTTTCCATACCGCCTCCGGGGGATCTGGGCGGCTGCACTGTCCTCCTTGTGGGCGGGTGGACGCACGGGAGGGCTGGCTGGCGCAGGACCCTCCTGTGGGTCACTGTGGCCACAGGCGCTCACTCGATCCGCATCTGCAGGCGGACGTTGAGCATCACCGAGGCCACGATGTAGAAATAGGGGAAGTTCATGCGCAGCCGCCAGGCCAGATCAAAGAAGGTGAGCAGCGTGCGCGTGAGCCCCTTGCAGAAGGCACAGTAAGAGCCACGGGCTGCTGCAGAGCGGGACAGTCGCAGTGCCAGGCCAGACAGCGTTGCCACCGCCGCCACTGCTGACAGAGCTGTGGATGCCGCCATGGGCCTTGCAGATGCAGACCTCGCCACCACTGGAGCACCAGCGGCTGGCAGGTGGACGTGAGGCCTAAAGTGACCAGTCAGCCTTGGGTGACCTCCTGCCCCGCTCGGCCCTCAGTCTCCTTCAGGGTGAGATCTGGTGCAGCAGCAGCCACTGGCTCTCCTCTGCCGCCCACGCACAACCTAACCCCTTCTCCGGCTCCCCGATGGGTGGCCACCAACGTAGCTCCGCCCCTACCATACCCGGCCTTCTTCCTGCATGTGGGGGTGGGGGGCACAGAGATGCTGCAGCTGATAGGACCTAGACCCAGGCACCTGCCCAGTAGGCAAGCCCAGGCTTCTAAGAGTAGATCCAGAGAGCCGGGACTGTTTGGAAGGTGGTGCTCTCCAGGGATTACTTCTGTGGAAAGCCCTAAAGTGGATGGCCCAAGTTCTGGACTGGTAAATAGATGTACAGAAAGCCCACCCACAATGCTTGGCTCATTCACACCATCACCCACTGTCTCCACAGAAAATCCGGGTCATCCAATTTATTGCATTTTTCTGGTACCACTATGGAGTTTCACCAAACCCACAAAATACCCTTTCTGGTATATTTGCTAGTCATATGTATTTTTCTTTATTCGTGAATTGTCCCACTGCCCTTAATGTTCACCCCATAGTGATTTCTAAGGACTCCTCTTAGTCTGTCTTTGCCCTGGAGACTGCAGAAGGTCTTCTCAAATTGTTATTTGGCCTTTATGGCCTTTTTCTTGCTGGTTGTGTGGACGAAAAGGGACCACATACTAACCTTGACAAGTCCAGGTGAGGCCTACATGGTGGCCTTACAAACTCAGAGACCTAGAGTAACCATGTAGGATGGTCTGAAATTAAAAAAAAAACAAAAAACAAAAAAAAAAAAACTAACTAACTAAAAGCAGATCCTGGCAGGGAGTCATGTCCTAGGGCAGTATTTTTCCCTAACAAAGGTCAATCTTCACCTTCACTGACTCTATTTTTTTTTGCATATATGATAACATGCCCTTTTCCAGAGCCCTCAAAGCACAGGCAATTGTTATTGTTATCATGGTAATTGTTGACTGTTAACTATCCTGTACCCACCCACGTAAAACAAGTATGTGTCTATCATTTTATTTTTTATCTAATTCCAGAGGTTTTCCTGCTTTGCTTTCTTCCACCTCCCTAATCTATCACCAAAGGATTTCAAGTAACCCACTCACATTTCCTCTTTTGATTGTACTGCATAATATAAGGTGCAAAATTGCCATTTTCCAGAGCATTTTTTTCAATCTGTTGAAATTTTACTTCTCGGCAATTGTCAGTTTGGCTTGCATAAACTCATAAAAATTCTTCCAGGTTTGGACATTTCTTACTTGACAATGGGTTTAAAAGCCCTATTATGGTTTCATCTTATCTTTATTGTAAACCAAATGCAACCCAAACTTGATTATGTTTTCAAGATTATTGAAATGCTTACACTTCATTCTAGTTATGACTTTAAAATCTGTCTGCAAGAAGTAGATCTATGGCCCTACCTGGTGTGGCTCAGTGGATTGAGCACCGGGCTGTGAAGCAAAGGGTTGTCAGTTCAATTCCCAGTCAGGGCACATGCCTGGGTTGCAGGCCATGTCTCCAGCAGGGAGCACATGAGGGGCAACTACACACTGATGTTTCTCTCCCTGTCTTTCTTTCTCCCTTTCCCTCTCTCTAAAAATAAATGAATAAAATCTTTTAAAAAAAATCTTGTGAAGGTCATTCTTTAAAAAAAAGTAGATTTATAAAGCTCTCATCCCAATTTTCACAAGAAGGGCTGGCCTGAGTATTAATATTCTCTCAAAATGTTGGTTTACCATCACATGTGAACATCCCTCTGGTATCCATGTAACTGTTTATGGAACCCAGCAGATTCATACACTGATTGAGCAATTGCCATACCTACATGGTCATGAAAAAATAGCCAGTTTCAGATACACTAGATTATTGTGTGACATCATGATTTTATCAGCAACATAACCATGCATAGGCATGAATGCATAGCAGTACAATTTACTATAGCCAAGAGTTGGAAGCAACCTAGGTGCCCGTCAGTAAATGAATGGATCAAAAAATTGCAGTACATGTACACAATGGAATTCTGCGCAGCAGAGAGAAAGAAGGAGCTCCTACCCTTTGCAACAGCTTGGATGGAACTAGAAAGTATTATGCTGAGTGAAATAAGCCAGGTGTTGAAAGACAAATACCATATGAACTCACCTTTAACAGGAAGCTAAACAACAAAACAAACAAGCAAGCAAAATGAAAACAAAGACACTGAAATAGAGAACAGGGGGACAGTGACCAGAGGGGAGAGGGGAGGGAATTTAAGGGGAAAAAAGAGGAGGGATTTAGAGAAACAAGTATAAAGGACACAGGGACAATAACTAAGGGGGGTGGAAATGGGAGGGAGGTGGGGAGCATGAGGTGGGGTGGGCTTGGATGGGAGAAATAGATAGAAAACTGTACTTGAAAAATAATGAAATTAAAATTAAAAAAAAAATACCAGAGCATATATATCAAATTACTCAATATTGTTCACCTCTGCTTAAGGTAGTAGAAAAGATGAAAACAGTTTTTACTCACTATGTATATGTACATATAACTATATATATATATATATATTACTTGTGTAATACAATGAAAAAAATAATTACTTGAAAAAGGGCAACAGAAATATAGACTTTAGCCACATAGAAACCCTTTGTTCCAGACTGGATCCAACCTCATTTATTTGCAGAGCCTGTTTCCTCCAATCATTTCTGAAACCTCTCCTTGGCCTTATCTCATATATTTTTAAGATTCTATTTTGAAATAATTATAGACAAGAAGTTGCAAAAGTAGTACACACACAAAAAAAACCCTTGTGCCTTTCATCCAGCTTCCTTAATGGTGCCATTTCCTATAAATGCAGTATAATATCAAAACCCAGAAATTTATATTGGTACATTATTATTATCTACACCACAGGCCTAATTTAGCATTCACCATTTTTCTAACCTGCATTAATTTCTGTGTATATATATGTATTGCTCTATATATACACACAAGCGATTTTTTCCATGTCAGGATTTGTATAACCATCACTACAATCAAGATACAATATTATTCCATCACCAGAGAAAAGCTCCTTTAGGCTATCTCTTTGTTCTCACTCAGCCACCCTGTACATATTTTGTTGTAGTTATATCTATTTCATTTTTTTTGGTTTTCACATGTTCATTGTTAGTATATAGAACTGCAGTTGATTTCTAATTAAGCCTTCTATTTTGAGATAAATGTAGATTTATGTGTGCTTTTAAGAAAAAGCACAGAGAAATCCCATGTATTTTTTTTTACCCAGTTTCTCACAATGGTAGCATCTTTCAAAACTAGGGTACAATATCGAAATCAGAATATTGACATAAGCCATCTATTTTGTTCAGATTTCCCCAATTTACTTGTTCTCATGTGTGTGTGAGCATGTGTCTGTATTCAGCTATATGCAATTTTATCACATGCATAGGTTCATGTAACAGCCACTACAGTCAAAATACAGAATAGTTCCATCACCATACAGATCCCTCATGTTGCCCTTTTTGGCCACACCCATTTCCATTCTGTTCTCCTTTCTTAATGCCTGGCAACCTGTTGTTAATTTTTATAATTTTGTCTTTTCAAGAATGTCATATAAATGGAATCATACAATCGGCTTTTTCACTGAACATCATTCTCTGGAGAGTCATCCAAGTTGTTAGGAATGTCAAATATTAATAGTTCATTTCTTTTCATTGCTGAATAGTATTCTTTGGTATGGTTGTTCTATAGTTTGTGTACCATTCACCCATGAAGGACATCAGGCTTGTTTTCAGTTTTTGGCTATTATGAATAAAGCTGCTGTAAATATTGGTTTACAGGTTGTGTGAACTCAAAAATTTCCATTGGTATCAGATAAATGCCCTAGGGTGTGATTGCTGGATTATATGTTTTATATGTTTTATTTTTTGAGACTCTCACAAACTGTTTTCCAGAACGGCTGTAATGTTTTACATTCCTATCAGCAATTTTTAATGTATCCAGTTTCTCTACATTCTCATCATTATTTGGCATCTCTTTTTCTCTTTTTAGCCATTCTGACAGGTATATAGTGATATCTCATTGTGGCTTTAATTTGTATTTCCATAATGATAATGATGGTGAAAATCTTGTTATGTGCGTATTTTCTATATCTATAACCTCTTCAGTGAAAGGTTGTTTGTCATTTTCTAAATGCACTGTTTTTGTTAAGTTTTGTGAATTCTTTGTATATTCTAGATATGTGTCCTTCATCAGATATGTGGTTTGCAAATATTTTATTCCCAGTCTGTAGCTTGTCTTTTCATTTTCTTAACAAGAGATTTCTCAGAGCAAAAGTTTTTAATTAAAAAATATTTATTTTTAGAGAGAGGGAAAGGAAAAGAGAAAGACAGGGAAACATCAATGTGTAGTTGCCCCTCATGCACTCCCTACTGGAGAACTGGCTTGCAACTCAGGCATGTGGCCTGATGGGGAATTAAACCAGTGACCCTTTGCTTCACAGTCTGGTGCTCAATCCACTGAGCTACACCAGCCAGGGAAAAAGTTTTTAATTTTGACAAAGTCCAATTTATTTATGAATCGTGATTTTGGTGAATGAGAACCTTTTTATGAACTCTTACAGTTTTTTCTATGTTGTCTTTAAAATTTTTAAAGATCAATTTTATACCATTCTGTGGTAGTACATTTTTAGTTAGTTTTTGTGTAAGGTTCAGAGGTTAAAGTACAGGCTCGATGTTTGACTATGAACGTTCAATTGCCAGAGCACAATTTCTATAAAGGCTATCCTTCCTCCTTTGAATTTCTTTTTCACCTTTATCATAGTTGAGCATATTTCTGAGGGTCTATTTTGGTGTTCTCTATTTTGTTGCATTGACTTATGTGTCTATGCTTTCCTCAGTACCACACTGTCTTAATTACTATAGCTATATAATATATGTTATTATTCGGTAGAATGATTTCTCCCACTATTTGTTTTTCAACATTTCTTTAGTTATCCCAGTGCTTGTGATTGTCTGTTTAATTTTAGAATACAAGTAAGTTTGTATATGGGTACAAAATTTTTT